AGGAATAAAGTGGTACGAAGCACACTTCCTTGTGGGACGCCTTCGAATTGAGGAAAGGATGATGAAGTGGAAGAGGCAATCTTGACCTGGAAAGTACGTTTAGAAAGGAAGGATTTAATGGGTTGTGTTGGGAGGGAGTAGATGTGTGGGGAGTATTAGTGTTAGGAGGATGAATATCAGAAGGATGGATAGTTGGAGTTGAAGGGGATGTGTTGTCTTGAGAGGAATTAGGAGGAAAGGGTGTAGGGGTGCTGTGAGTAAGAGGGGGATGCATATCAGGAGGATGGGTATTGGGAGGATGGATATCAGTGGTGGTTGGGATTGAGGGGGTTAGGTTGTGTTGGGAGGGAGTAGGAGGAAGGGGTGTAGGGGGAATATTAGTAGGAGGGGTATGAATATCGGCAACCACTTCAAGTGTGGAAGGAGCATGAGTTATGGGATTTTGTGTCTCAAGCATATAGCTTTGAATGTCATCCATTGTTTCTGCAGTGGAGTTTGTTGGAGAGTTTTGTGAGAAGGTAATTGTTTCTGCAATGGAATTGGTTGGAGAGTTTTGTGGAATAAAGGTTTTCTTATGAGAGGGGGAAGAGGAGACTGGTGTCTCAGGAACAAAGGTATAGGTAGGTGGAGGTGATTGTGCTGTAGGGGAAGAAGGGTTAGAACGTTTAGTCTGTCTACTGCGGGGAGGGAGAGGGGTTGGTGTTGGGGCTGTAGTTGAGATAGGAGCTGTGGTTGAGATTGGGGTGTCTGGGTTTAGAGTGGCAAAGGAATTGGTCTGAGGGATGTAGAATGTAGAAGTGGAAATGGGGACATTTTTGGGTGGAGGGGAAGGGCTGAGCGAACGATGTTGCTAGAATATGGAGTATGAGAGAAACCTTGTCGACGTGCTTCCTGTCTGGCTTCACGTAAAGTGAGACCATTTTTGTATCTGAGAGTTGCTACCTCAGATTCAAATTTGTAAGTGGGACAGCCTCTATAAAATACATTATGGGGGCCGCCGCAGTTAGCACATGTTCGTGTTTGTGCTGAGCAGTTTGATCGATTATGACCAGGTTGGGCACATATGGGGCATCGGTCTGTGGAACGGCAATGTTTGGCAGGATGTCCAAAGCGCCAACAGTTTTGACATTGACGTGGAGGGGGTTGGTATGGTCGAACAGGGAGGGATTGTCCACCAATGTAGATACGTAAGGGAAGGTCATGTGTACAGAAGGTAATTTTGGCAATATTGGTCGGATTCTTTCGTTGACCTTTAGGAGGAATGGTGTAGCAATGTACTGATTTCACATCTTGGTCTTTGAGGCATCCTAATAAGTCTTCTCCACAGTCTGACCAATCTTTGGTATCGACTGGGCAGTTTGCTGGGGAGAGAGAGACAGTTTCGGTACAGGTATTAAGGGTTGGATGAGGTTCTGCAGGAATGGGGTTGCCAGAATGATCAGTTCAATTTGACAGTGCTATAGATTCAGTTTCTGATCTGACTGTTACCAGACGGGAGCGATCGCGTCTGGTATAGAAAGGGACTCTACCTACTTGTTTTTGGAGGCATTGTTGAAAGAGAAGTGTTGCCTGAGTAAGGAGATGTAGCAGGGATCACGAAAAATCGGTCCCATTTAGCTGGGCTAAACAGAGTATTTAAGATATCTGTAGGGTTGGTGGTGGTGGATAGTCGGGGACGTGTGGAAGAGGGAGTATTACGGAATGATAGAGAATAAGGTTGCAAGGTAGTAATAAGGGAGGATTGGTTGTTTGATGAAGGTTGCAGGGGTGGAGTTGAATTTGAGGAAGTTGGGTGGGTAGGAATGTCTTCTGGAGATTGATTCTCTGCTTGGGTGGGTAATGTACTAGTAGGCATTGAGGAGTGGGCAGTAGTTTGTGTTCGGAGCCGTGGTCAAAGGAGAGCCTGGGTTGGGGCTATTTGATAAAGGGGCTAGCCTCATAGCCTCTAATAAAGGGATTACATTATCATTACTGGTCATGGGGAACCTGGATTATGTAAATAGGCCTATTCGGTCCACCTCCTTTCGCTACTGAAGGTAAGGGCTAGATTAGTCAGGAGTACCGTGCCCATAGTTCCCGCAGGCCGTTCAGGACTGGCACTAGGTCAGCCTTTCATCCTCTCAGCACAGCTCTCACACCTTAGGAAGTAGATAGCAGAAGGGGATGGAGAAGAGACGGAAACAAAAGCTGGAGAGAAAAAAGACCATGCAAAATTAGTTGAGTCGAGGGCTGAGGCCCTAGGCAGGGGAGATCCCTGTATTGGGTCTCAGTCTTCGTCTCCTAAGCCCCCCCACGACAACAACGGGCAAGGGATTGGGGGGGAATTCATTTCTTAACGCAGGTTTCCAATATATCCACCAAATTAACAACTAAACAGGAATAAAAGCGATCCCTCTCTCTCTCTATGTATATTTGTCATTTCTGCACTTCTTCGCCTGATTTCCGTACTTTCCCACCTCCTCACAATCGAACCATCCTAACTATGCCCAAGTTGTTTGAAGGCAGGCCTCCTTTCAAGGTAAGGGCGTGATCTCACCGAGCCCAGGACTGGCGAGGTGTCATTGCTTTTGTTGCTGGCTGTACTTCAACTATCAAGCATCATAAACCAGTCAATCACCAAACACAGCTGCTGATAAGCATATTCTTGCCTTCAAAGAAATATCATAGCTATCCTTACATAAAAATGAAAGGACTTACTCATATTACCAAATGACAATACAAGCCAAGACAGGGGAAACTGAAAAGCATTTTAAATGAAAGATTTTATTACAAATCGGCATCATCCTACTTCCTATGTTTCTTTTAGACATTCACTGATTACTTGGTTGCAAAAAGCTGGAACCGTCAGGCTCTTGCTTTTATACACTGTGAAATGTTATTAACAAGCATCACAAACTGAATAACAACTTAACATTTTTTATTTACTTATGCATTCTTTTTTTTTTGTATTTTTTGTTTTTTGCTTTCCTCTAAAGAAAAAAAATATATATATACATGATATACATAAAACAAAAAAATTTAGATACCCGAAAAATTTCAACAAAAGAAAAAAAACATTCCCGATATATGTAATGCTTAGGTAATTTGTACTTGTGTGTGAACTTTCTCTGTAGCCGTCAGCAGCACGTATTGCAGCAACCTTTAATCCTGTGGTTATCACTCAATGTGGAACCTTAGGATGAAAACAAAAAATGAAAAAAAAAGAAAAAAAAAGAAAAAAGGTTCAGAAGGGAATAGAAAAACAAGTAAGGAGGAAGGGGCGACATGGGCATCTTCAGAAAACTGCTTGAAGAAAAATAATTATTGAATAAAAAAAATTTAAAAAGTAAAATTGATTCATCTGGATTTTTCCCAGAATTTCTTGTTACTCCAGCTAAATGAAATATGTTTACATATATATGTATGTATGGGTATATATATATATGAAAATGGATGTAGGCACGAGAGAGAGAGAGTGTGAGTGAGTGAGTGAGTGAGTGAGTGAGTGAGTGAGTGAGAGAGAGAGAGTGAGTGAGTAAGTGAGAGAGAGAGTGTGAGTGAGTGAGTGAGTGAGAGTGAGTGAGTGATACAGAGTGTGTGTGTGTGTGTGTGTGTGTGTGTGTGTGTGTGTGTGTGTGTGTGTGTGTGTGTGTGTGTGTGTGTGTGTGTGTGTGTGTGTGTGTGAGAGAGAGAGAGAGAGAGAGAGAGAGAGAGAGAGAGAGAGAGAGAGAGAGAGAGAGAGAGAGAGAGAGAGAGAGAGAGAGAGAGAGAGAGAGAGCAACTGTTTGCTGCACAAGTGCAAATACATCCATAATTTTGCATGTAAATACAGATAATTGTGTTATGTTTCTATGTGGGCTTCTGTATGTATATCTGCTTGCAAAGTATCTTACACTCCTATAAGTGAACACACAATTTCCTTCATACATATATACAACCACATACATGTACATACATGTGTAGTACATACATATAACCAAAGGATATAACCTTAATTAAATTTCTTGTTACTTATCCAACACACATATATATAAAAAAGACTAATATTAGTGGGCATTTAAACTGCCTCAGACATCCATCCTCTAAAGAAAGAAAAAAAAAAAAAGGAAAAAAATATATATATGCACATGGTTTTACATTCACACTCTGGTTCCTAGAAAATTTGAATTGGCAGATCCTTTCCTTTTCTATATGTAATTTCAAACATAAAAGTGGAATTAATCTACTTTTTGACATGGAAAACTTTAACTGCATAGTCATGTTCACTGTTCTGGTAAAAGTACAAATAGTCTGCCAGCATAACTCCAAAGCTACATATATAAATTTTGCACTAGACCATACCACGATGGAAGTAAACAAGAAAATTTCATGAGAAAATTATTTATAATCCTGAAAAATTTAAAAACAAGTTCCAGAAAAAATCCTAACAGAAAAAAAAGGGAAATACAACAACCACTCCTCCTCCTCAACCTCCCACTACAGCGCTCCGGTGAGGGTTGAGCCACTCATTAAGCGGGATAACGCGAACGACACACCTTGCCCAACGGCACATGCGCGGGAAGTAGCGTCAATGATCACACTTGTGCTGAAGAACTCACTCGAACACTACATCAATAAGTGTTTTGAAATCACTACAAAAGTTAAAGCCTGAGCTCCTTTTCAATAGGATTTTTTTCTTTCTTCTTCTTTACAAAAAAAATTATTTATATTTAGTGTGCATTCCTGAAATATACTAATTCAGGTTTTAAAACTACAAATAACAGAAGGAGATGATGTAGTTGAACAAGCTGTCCAATGGAGAATTTAAACCTCAAATCAATGACCATATGGCAGCCCGTACCAGGGCAACCTCAACTCAACTAGACAAGGAACGATCTATCCATCATTCCAGGTACTTAGTAACTAATATCGTTAATACAGTGATCACAGTTTACAACAGTCTCAAGTAACGCGCATCTTCCATCTCACATTAGATTAAATACAAGAGAAGATCAATATCATTCAAGCTTAAATAAAGTCACTTTTTTTCTTTCTTTTTTATTTTTATATGCTTTTGGCAGGGTGGGGGGAAAATCTGGCATAGCTTAATGTGTCTCCTCTTTGAGGCAGACGTATCTAGCACCTTTATTTAACCCTCCAGTGTGTACCAAATAGAAAAGGATTTCTTGTGTTCACCAGGATTCCTCTTTTGTTTTTCTTCTTCTTAGAAAGAAAGAAAGAAAGAAAAAAGCCATTTCTCAGGACATACATTTGGTCCTCAACTGCCACAGATTTTAAAAGAGAGAGATAACTTAGTCTCTTTCTGGCATATTCCTTCACCCTAAGGTTTCACTTTGATACTGTAACCTCTTGATTTTGAGATGGCCACACTTCTCACAATCGTGCAAGAGTTGTACAGCGCAGTTGCACTACAGTTCATCGCAGCATTCACCTCTCTGGTCCATCTATTGAAAGCGAGAGAGCAATCTGCAGAGACATGGCCTTCATGCGTCTGTTTCCTCACAAGGATGGCCTATGGGGAAGTGAGACGACAACACTAGGTTCCAGCAAAGACCCCCTACCCCTGGAATCCCTCCCGCCCCAACCCTAAACACTAGTTTGAAAATAAAATCTCCTATGCCCTATTGGTCATTATTCGCCATCACTTTTGAATTTCTTGTCCTCTTGCTTGATCCCTTCATTGCCAGCTTCGTCAGAAGTTCTCTTGGCACTCCCGCTTGACTCCACCTTCAATTTGTTCAACTTGATGATGATGCACGTCATGTTGTCACAGCCTGTGCCATCCCCATGAGTGTCTGGGGCTAGACAGTGGTCAAATAACTAGAAAGTAGAAAGAAAACATCTTACATATATGGCGACAACTTATACATATAAATACTTGTTAATATATATATGCGTATATAATGCTATTTATTTGAAAATAAATTATGCAAGTACAAGGGTATAAAAATATTCACACACAAGAGGCACACCTGCATACATGAGTGCATGAATAGTATGCATATACAGGGGTCTGAAAATGTACATCATTACATATACATGAGCAGCTACAGATAGAAACCCTCACAATTCATAAATTCCACACAAAATTAGCACAGAATCTCACCTCCTCACAAATCTTTGAGAGCTTGGTATCCTCACTCAGCCTCTCAGAAACAAAATCACAAGCTTCCTGAGATGAAAGAGAGTTCCAGATTCCATCACAGGCAACAATTATGAAGGTATCTTTGGGTTCAAGTGTCATGGAACGAACGTCAGGGAGCGGACTGATCATCTGTTCCTCTGCCGATAGGTTTTTGTTTTGCTTGTAGCCATGGTCACCTGAAAGACAATCTCTCATTAGGGAATGAATGAAAATGAAAGAGAAAGAAAGAAAGAAAGGAAAAAAAAGAATGAGGAAATATGAACCTAAAATTTAACCCAGTAACAACGGGTGTCCCACATATGAGACACCTGGAAAAAAAAAATTGCCGGGCATTCTGCCAGTGTGACACTGTATTGGGGCTCGCGCTCCAACACAGCAGCAGGCAGAGTCCGGGCAAGCCCCGCGCGCTGATTTTGTAGCCACCCAGAAACACTTATTTTCGGCTTCAAAATATACCAGCGGTAATGGGTTAATATAAATTTACTGCTGCTAATTAGAGAAATTAATTATGCGCCTTCTCTTTTATAAATCCATTGCTGTTTTAAAAAATACTATGTAGAATAAGTTTATAGATATACATATTCCTATATCATACCCTAAACCAAGTATTTAGACTGTTGTCACCAGCAGAGCATTTATACACATGCTCGGTCCAATGCAATCTTTGTTTCTACTTTTGTATATACAAAAGTGACCCCAAAAGTGGTCAGTCACCAAGGAGTACATTATGAGGGCTACCCAACTTTTTTGGGGGAGGTGGGGGGTGGGGCTATTAACACTATCAGTTCCTAAGCATCTCAAACCCTTCACTTCAAAAATGAAAAAGTTATTGCTTGCATATGACTGAAAATGGAGATGGACTTTTTAAAATCATATCAAAGATAAAATGTGTATTTAGATGTTATTAGAAGAATTTACATGAACACACAACAAAATGACATACATAACACTAAGGAGGCAGGAAAACAATACTGCAGTTCAAGCAGAGGGCCTACAAGGGGAGTGGGTGCAGAAGGTCTTCTACAATCAAGGCAAATCAGACTGGTTGTACATTGTGTGCTTAGCCACTATCATAATCCCTGCATTAACTCGAGCCCTTTCACAAGGTATACTTCACACATACCCAAAATGCTTATAGCAAATATATTTTACCACATAATGAACTTCTCAATTAATTATTGTTTAAAAAGTTGTTCAGAGAGAGATGACTTAGTGGAGACAGTGCGTGCTAAGGGTTCAAAACTGATACAGATTTCTTTATTACAATACAAAAGATACGAAGGGCAAAAGAAATTGTTACAGTTTGGACATATACACATTTAGTAACCAGTTTGGCTGTTCACCACACCACTTGGTTCATCCGATCACTAGATTTAATGTAGGGAATGACAACAACAGTATTAATAACTGACAATAATAGTACCAGAAAAAAAAAAATAAGGGGAGGATATCACTAGGGATCAAGAAGACTTCTTGATGACTAAGCACTTGTGGTTGATCTCTGCAAATAAAATACAAATTCTATTTTACAATAGTCAATACCCACATCCAGGACCAATGGATTTAACAACCTATTCCGAGACCTCCAAAACTAATTAACTACAAAAAAAAATAATCAAAAGAATTTTTGTTGGAGGGGGAACGAAGTTAAGCAATATAACAACTGCTAACCCAGAAGTCCTCCGTTTATGATCTTGGAGAAAAAACAAAATTGGATAAGTAAACACTGGCTTTCCAAATGACAAACTTGTCATTTTTGTAAATTAGTTTTCTCCGTATATGGTAATAAGAATAGTAAAAGAGGCAATAGCAATATCACAATGAAATTTAAAAGAAAAAAAAAAACAAAAGAAAGTAAGCTACAAATAAAAAAATTAAAACAGGAGTAGGTAATAACTATAATAACCACTCTCCCTACCAATTGCTCTTGAGAGATTGAGTCCTCCATTGACCCTTCCGTCTGCTGTCACTCTCCCTCCTGCTCTGATAATTCTTGCTGCCTCAGGATCATCCTCTGGCTTGTGGTCCAGACTCATTTCAATTGCTTTGCCGTCTCTGGACACAACACAGCGTGAATCACCCACATTGGCCACATAGAGCTCATTGTCTTTGATCAGTGCTAGGCAGGCTGTGCATCCACTGTCAAAGCCAGGCTGCAATTGGAAGGGCATTGGTCACTCAATTCAATCATTGGCCAAGTAATTCAAAGGATTCAAAGTATGATTTATCCTGAAAGGTAAAGTATCCTTCAGCTTAGAAATAAGGTTGAGATAAATAAAATTAAATGTTGGAGGGGGAACGAAGTTAAACAATATAGGTATTATTCAACACAGAGGTCCTCCACGATTTAATCTATGAGAAAAATTACAGGAAAGTAAGCAATCTACATCCTGAATATGAAAGTGTATAAAATATTTTTCTCAATACTTTCTCCACTTCAAAAGTATGCAAAATTGATTAGTATACAACCTACAAAATACTTAGTATGCAATTCTAATGCAGCAACCTAATAGATAAAATCAAAGATTCAGGGCATGAACATCACAAAGATGGCCTTCCTAAGCATTGTCCCTGTCCCTGTTCTTAGCCTTCCTTTGTTAACCTACTGGAACCAGGAACATGCATGTCCAAAGTATTTTTTTTTTTTTACACACAGATGGCTTCACAAGTGCTTAGTCAGCAAGGAGCTAACCATAATCACTCTGCCTACCTGACCTCACTGGTTTCTCTGTTCCTTTTTTTTTTTTTAATACTTTCATATCTATCTTTATCATGGGATAGCATAAAAAGGCAAGGTCAAATGACCACTTACAGATCGATTCCTTGTGTGACTAAGCCCTCAAAGACATCTTAGTGCAAAAAAAAAATAAAATATATATAATAAACAAAACATATGCCAAAACAAATGAAGAGTTCATAAAAAGTGTATTTCTAAACCAATCATTCTGTTCCACAATTGTCCAATGAGAACTTTCTTAGTGCAAAAAAAAAAAAATAATAATAATAATAATAAACAAACATATGCCAAAACAAAATGAAGAGTTCATAAAAACACCCCATATCATACTTGTATTCCTAAACAATCATCTTTCCACAATTGTCCAATGAGAATTATGAGAATCACATCTGGGTGACTGGGCACTCCTGCAAGTTCTAAATGCTCCGCGTTATTGGAACAAAATGTGACAGGCTAAAAGGCAATCCACAGTAGTTCCAAATACAAAAATGGAGGAAATACAGCAGATCATCTCATCTTATATAAAATACACCAATTCACATCATATTGTGCAAAAAATGTACTTTAGTAGGTTGTGTTATTACATGGATAATGCTTACTTTTAGTTTTCCCAAGAAATTCAACCCTTTAGAGCCGAGTGCATTGTCCAAAATCTGGACATTACACTTACTTGGAGTGGGCTTTCTCCCACTGCAGGTTACAGTGGGCAGGAATAGGAGCATGGATGCTACATTCCACATATGTTTATCAATGGAAATAATGCTTCCTAAATGCCTACCAAGTCTAATCGCTATCCAACAGCTTTGTGCACACCCTAGACTTTAACCAAATTTTTCCATGACAGCACATACCCCTCACCCAACCCACAGGCAAATTTTTCATGAAGTGAAAATTTGATATGTAGCAGTGAATATTTAGCAATGTCTCAAAAACTGAAATTGCAATTTTAAATTTAACTGAAGATTCTTTGAAATATGAATTACTGAAGCAAAATGTTAAACAGTTGGAACATACTACAGTGCAAGATATCTGCACTTCAAGCATTACAGGAAGCAATTAAGCAGTTCAGAGCTTCCAATATTAATTGTTCTCAGTTGTCAGATTTACCAACATTACTGTGTAATACATATGTGGAATATAAAATTCATGACAACAGATACTTTGTTTAACCATAAT